TTGCATTATCGAACAGAATGGAAACCAAATTTGGGGCTTGATACGAATTTCAAACTACCACTGAGGTATATACAACGACCTTATCGGTTCTTGGTAGTGCCGGCATGGTTAATATATCAAAAGATTTTAATTTGATTTATATTGATTGTGACAAAAAAATAAAGCACTTCAGATAAGGCATCTATGAGTATTATAAATTAGTCGTATTATAGATTTCGAAATATATATATTTTCGAAAGAGCTTCCAAGAAGACGACTTTCACAAATATTCTGTAGGACTTGATTAATCCCAATAACACGTATTAATAGCATTAAGTTCGGACGTACCGAAATTTGTAACCTCTCGACCATGGAATATTTATATAGGCTTTATAAAAAAAAGATATTTTTGAGAGGTACTTAAACCTATTTACAGAAGGAACCCAGTAAAAAATTGGATCATCCAACGATTAATCGTAGGACGCTCCTTTTCGAGCAATGGAGTACTCCTTAAATCTCCGACTCTCTTGCATTTTATACTCTTTTTTAACATTGCATGTCCTAGGAGGCGAGCACTCCTTTTGAGCTCCCATTGGATGACAGACGGAGTACTCGTTTTCATCTCGGAAAGGAGGACAAAGGGAGTAATCTTTGTTATCTCCTGAAAAAGCATATAGGGAGTACTCCTTTTGATCTCGGAAAGGAGAATCAAGGGAGTAATCTTTGTTATCTCCTGAAAGAGTAAAAGAAAGTAAAGAAGTAAAAGAAAAGAGTAAAATAAAGAATATATATTTTATCATTTATTTTTAACGAAAAAAAAACAAATAATTCATTTTTGTACTATAATTTCTTATAATTAAAAAAACATATTAAATACTTTATTTATTTAGATTTTAGGCTGTAGGTTTGCCGGTAAAATGTTGCCTTACATTTGCGAAAGGCCAACTTAAAAGATTTTTCAAATTCAGGATAAGTTTCGTAGGTGTCTCTGAGTGATTCTGCAAAAATAAAGGAAAAATAAACATCATGTACATATTATTTAAAACACGTTATAAAATCAAGCTATTACCGAAATAAAAAAAGTTAAACAACCGATATTTGTTTATGGCTGTCTTATTTTTAGCTCCATCCCAATTTACCCGAAGCAAAATATTGTCACCAATCATTGCATGTAACGCCTTTTCTATTTTGTCTTTGCCAAATTTTAGTTTCATATATGATATCTGAAAATAATTAAAGATAAATATAATTAGCTTTTAGTACCAAATTCACTTAAATTATGCATTAAAAACTCTGGCTTACCACTTCTGATTCAGGCTCGTTATTAACTAATTGTTCTGCCGAATTTAATTCCTCTAGTGAATTTATTGGAAAAATTTTGAGATCCTTGCTAGTTGGGCGTATGTGTTTAACGATCTGTTCTAACAAAATTGTCTGTTTACACATAATTTTCTTTAAAGCTTCGACTTCAGTTTGAAGGAGATCAATTTTGTTTTCCAATTTTTTATTGGTGTTTTTTGTTTCATTGTTTGTTTCTAGAAATGAACATAAAATCAAATAATTACTATGATAAAAAATATAAAAAGAGCTATGAGTTAACATTACCTGCGACATTATTCGGTGTGCTTTGTACAGTTTCATCCGTAAAAACTGATTGAGTTTGGAATATGTTCGCATTAAAATTCATGGTTCTTAAGGTAGAAAAATAGTTTGAAATATAGTTTAAATATTAGTATTTACTAAATTTGACAGTGGTGTAGAATAGGAATAAATACAAAATATTCCCCATCAGGTACGCAAAATATCTTGCAATATATGTCACGCATGTTAATTTTCTCTCGGTGGATATTTAGTGTTTTCGCCTTACAAATTCCTAATTTGAGAAATTTTCAATTTCTTTTTTTACAAGCCGTCTAAGATGACGTTTAGAAACAAAATTATCACACATTATTTTACCAATTGATTTTTTTAATTACACTTTTTTAATTTTTTTAATTACACTTTATTTACACTTACAACACGTGTTTCACTTCAGACGGACACAAGAAAACTGAGCAAATGGACGGACAACCATAAAGAAATAATCGAACATGACGAAAGCAACAGTTAAACAACAGTTACATCAAACAAAAAAAAACATGCCAAAAATGCTTTGATGCATCCCTTATTGATCCATTTGGAGCATAAGGCGAGACATCAATTTTTTTCCAACTTCGTGGAATTTTTTGGCAAAACAAAATTCATACATTGCTCGCTTATTACTCCAAATGGATGAAGAAATCATTACTCCTCTATTGCTCGGTTGAGGATTACTCCAAATATTTTTTACTGGGAACGTCACTTCGATTAGACAACACCGTGGGAGGCCTTTTTTTCATCTCCAACATGGGCTATACATTCACAATGCCATAAATAAATCGGGATCTTTATACTACAATTTGATGGAGATAATTTTTGTACTTTATAACATCCTTGTAAAACGACATTTAGTGGGAAAATCTAGTACAAACTCGGAAAAGGATAGGGTTTAACCCCAAAATGAGTTTTCATATTTTTATGGTTTTTGACGTTTAGGCTGATTTTCGAATTGTAGTCTATTCTGAGACTTATGGTGTAGAACATTCTGACCTGATATAACCCCGTTTTAAATGAGTTTTCAATCATTTCTGGAAAAGGTGGCCACCGAAAAGACCTCTGCAGACAGTCGGCTGAGGGATTGCATATAGTAAAAAAATATATTACATCTTTACAAGGCGTAGATTTTTGAAAGAATTGTTTTCCAAGGCTTAGCTTACATCTTTACAAGAATTGTTTTCCAATTTTTTTTCCAAGGCGTAGATTTTTTAAAGAATTGTTTTCCAAGGCTTAGATTACATCTTTACAAGGCGCAGATTTTTTAAAGAATTGTTTTCTAAGGCTTAGATTACATCTTTACAAGGCGCAGATTTTTTAAAGAATTGTTTTCCATTTTTTTTCTAAGGCGTAGATTTTTTTAAAGAATTGTTTTCCAATTTTTTTCCAAGGCTCTACAAGGCGTAGCTTTTTAAAGAATTGTTTTCCAATTTTTTTCCAAGGCTCTACAAGGCGTAGATTTTTTAAAGAATTTTTCCCAAACTCTGCAAGCGTAGATTTTTTAAAGTATTCTTCCCAAACTCTACAAGCGTAAATTGTTTTAATATTTTTTTAAAAATGTACGCCTTGGCTAGACCCTGAAAAAATATTCTTTTAAAAATCTACGCCTCGGCTAGACCCTGAAAAATATTCTTTTAAAAATGTACGCCTTGTTTAGACCCTGAAAAAATATTCTTTTAAAAATCTACGCCTTGTTTAGACCCTGAAAAAATATTCTTTTAAAAATCTACGCCTTGGCTAGCCCCTGAAAAAATATTATTTTAAAAATCTACGTCTTGTTTAGACCCTGAAAAAATAATCTTTTAAAAATCTACGCCTTGTTTAGACCCTGAAAAAATATTTTTTTTAAAATCTACGCCTTGTTTAGACCCTGAAAAAATATTATTTTAAAAATCGACGCCTTGTTTAGACCCTGAAAAAATATTCTATTAAAAATCGACGCCTTGTTTAGACCCTGAAAAAATATTCTATTAAAAATCTACACCTTGGCTAGACCCTGAAAAAAATATTCTTTAAAAAATCCAAGCCTTGGATGATAGACCTTGAAAAATATTCTTTAAAAAATCCACGCCTTGGCTGATAGACCCTGAAGAATATTCTTTAAAAAACCCATGTTTTGGTAAGACCCTGAAAAAATATTCTTTTAAAAATCTACGCCTTGGCTAGACCCTGAAAAAATATTCTTTTAAAAATCTACGCCTTGGCTAGAACCTGAAAAAATATTATTTTAAAAATCGACGCCTTGTTTAGACCCTGAAAAAATATTCTATTAAAAATCTACACCTTGTTTAGACCCTGAAAAAATATTTTTTTAAAAATCTACGCCTTGTTTAGACCCTGAAAAAATATTTTTTTAAAAATCTACGCTTTGTCTGGACAAGAAGAATTTTTTTCCTAAACTCTACAAGGCATAACAAGTTTAAAGATTTTTTTCCAAAGATTTTTTAACGATTTTTTCCAAGACTCTATGCCCTACCCAACATATTATAAGCACTGTCAACTCTAAATATTTATGTATCTCCTTTTAAGTTATTATAGGGATTAGATTTAAATCGGCATGTGATCAAACATCTCCATGTTCTAAATTTAGGTGGCAAAAATCCAGATAACTTGTTAAAAATATAAATGAGACACCATACCAGTAGTGATTTATGATTAAAGTTTCTTTTGATAAAATGTCACTTATTTACCTTTAGGTAATTAGTGTTATTATTTTATGGAGCCTCAATAGCGCCTGACGCCGGTAATCTTACCGTGTGACAAACTGTGAAGCTACTATATGTTTATCACATGTCTATTAATTAAAATTAAATATACAAATACAAAGTTGGTTTAATTTTATCTCATTTAAGAGGGATACAATTTAATCTGAAAAAAATTCAAGAGATGTGGAAACAAAACAGCCACTATTTTAGAAATGACAATAGAATTTTTAACTTCAATCTGCAAGGGGTCCATGAAAGGTAAGGCGAAGATATTCTATGAGGAAGACCTCAAGGTCTTAAGTTTTATAAAATACATTTGAAACGATGGAATCATCGCTTTTCATATATATCTAAATACCGATCAATACCCTTAGTGTCTTTGGAAAAATCCTCTCGAAAACTCTGTTCTTTTTACATGGAAAACTTAAACTTGTTAAAAGCAATAAAATATTGGCATAGCCCATAAGTACTTTCAATTGATTTATTATCTAAGATTTTAAATAAGAAAAATAATATTTTTTATTCTTCTTGATAAACAGCACAGTCTTACCAGTTAATTGCAATAAAATTCCCCCTTATATTTATTAACCTATATATTCTACTTTTTTCATCTATAAACAATAACATTTTAAAATAATTACATTTTTTATTTATTTAATATTTTTTTACTTTATTTATATTTACCTGATAAGCATTGAGATGTAATAACAGCCACTATCACAGCGAAATACAGCATCATTTTGTTGGTGTTTAGTGTGGATGTAGTTGTGGCAGCCATAATTAATATGCAGTTGAATTTTATTTTAATTTGTTATCTTAAATATCTTAAATATATATAACAGCAAACTAAATTCTATTGCGTTTATCACAATTTTTTTTATTTTATTTATTTATTTTTTTTGTTTTTTGTTTTTTTTTTTTTTTTGTGTGGACGTTGATGATCACTTCAAGTTGTCAAAATACCAATGTCCAAATGTTTACATTACGATTATGATGGATATGTATGTATGGAAATACTGTAAATAAAACGGAAATGAAAAAATGTTAAATATTATTTTGAACAGCGGTTGAACAATAAAAAATTTAAAATTTGTAACTTCATTAATGTAATGAGAATATAAATGCAAGTAAAAATATAATTTTAAATTTAAAACCTATAGGCCTCAAGACCTTTCAGCTGAGAGCATAAAAATAGTATAGAAAACATCAAGGTCCTATTGAAGAATTTATTGAAAATTTCAGCGTCTTATTGACGACCTTAAGGTCTTATAACAGGCCAATATGTCATATTGAAAACCCTTTAAAGACCCTCAGAGCCTTTTATAATCTCAAGGTCTTTTAAATCAAAATCAAAAATATCAATATTTTATTGAAAACCTCATGATTTTAATAAAGGAAGACTCTAGGTTTCATGGAAGACTTCAATGTTTTAAAGAAAGATTAATGGCTTTATTTCTGAGTCTTATTGCAGACATCAAGATATTATTAAAGGTCTATAGAAGACCACATTAAAGAAGGAAGACCTTAAAATCCTAATGTTTTATAAAAAAGACATCAGAATTTTAGAGAAGAGCTCACTGCTTAATTGAAGACCTTTAGATTTGATGAAAGGCGTCAATGTTTTATTGAAGACTTCAGGGTCTCAATGATATATAATATTGAACAGATATATAAAATTTAACATCTAAACATTTTGTGAAATTCCTCAACTTCTTATGAAATACCTCAGAGCCTTATATACACTTATAGTCATCTATAAGTCTTCAGAGTCATAAAGTATGAGATTCAAGCTAGGTCCTCCGTGAGGCTCTGAACTCTTCTTTAAAAAAATGCTAATGTTTTATAAAATACCACAGGATTTTTAAGAAGAGCTCAGACTTAATTGAATACCTCTATGTTTTATTGAAGACTTCAGGGTCTCACTGAAAATCATAAGGTCTTATAAAATACTGCTACATCATATGTTCCCCAATGTCTTCTGAAATATTCCAGAGCCTTATATAAACTCAAGGTCTTCAATATGTTCTCAGAGTCTTAAAGTATAGAAGACTTCAATCTTTTCTAGAAGACCTCATTAAAGAAGTGTTCAGAGCCTCAAGAAGGATGTAAAAATCCTAATGTTTTATAAAAAAGAACTCAGGATTTTAAAGAAGACCTCTGGGTTTGATAGAATGTGTGAATGTTTTATTGAAAAATTAAAGGTTTTACTGAAGACTTTAGGGTCTCAATGACGATCATAAGGTCTTATTAAATGCCGATATGTAATATTGAAAACCTTAACATTTTGTGGAATTCCTTAGAATTATATATCCCTCACGGTCTTATAGAAGTCCTCAGAGTTTTAAAGTATAATAGAAGACATTAAAATCTAAGAGAAGATCTCATAATCCTATAGAGGAGTTCAGGGTCTCAAAGAGGAGCAGAAAATAGTTATGTTTTATAGAATATTTTAGTGTTAAAGAGAATAGCTCAATACATTTTAGAAGGCCATTTAGGTTTGATGAAAGACTTCACTGTTTTATTGAAAAATTAACGGGTCTGCGAAAGATTTCAGGGTCTGAAGATCTTATTAAATATATCTCTATAATATTGAATGTCTGAATATTGGGTGGAATTCCCCATTGTCTTATTAAAAATCGCAGAATCTTTAATATTGTCAAAATCTTAGAGACGTCTTTGGAGTTCTAAAATATAACATATAAGTTAAATTTCTCCGAAAAATAATGATAGAGATCGCAATATTTCAGATATATTTTTGGGAGGTACACTTTATATGCATATATGGTTTAAGGCTCTATCCGGATGTATCAAACATATCGGGAAAACGGGAGTAGCCTCCCCAGAACGGTATCTCAAATATTGGGTCATTCAAATGTGTTTGTGTTCGTTTAGTTCTCATTGGGTGGAAAATCGTCCTTTCAACAAGTAAAAAAGTGTCATTCGGTATTGCCTACGGAATTAAACACAGATTTTATTATTTTTATTGGGGGTACCAACATGTATGTAGCGATAATTTCCATTTTCGGAATTGATCCATTTGCAAATGTTGGATCAAATGGAACATTCAATTCGCTTCATATTGGATTAACAAATTTAAACATGTTGACACTGTGGGTGATGTACCAGAAGGAAGTGACCGAGAGGTCCCATCTTCGGATATTGTCTAGTAAAGGTAAATATATTACGATATGCCAATGAAATTGGATATTCCATTTGCTTCATACGAGATGCACAAGTTTTCCAAATGTTTACCATTTTATTGGGAAGGTACCAGAAGTAGTTGGTGGATAAGTCCCATCAAAGTTTTCAAAATGTTGACCATTTTGCCAACATGATCCAAATTTGGTAAAATTTTACCATGGAGTTTTGCGCATTTTCCAATCAAATGACATATAATTTGGCATTGGATGGCCGGATGACATGAAAGGTCCATACATCTGCATATCCCATATCATAACGCCTTATTTTCGATATTTTTAATATTTTAAACTCCAACCAAAGGTCACATGTTTTGACAATATCTCAATTACCAGCCTCCTTTTCGATAGTTTTAACGTTTGGGAAAATTCCGCTGACTCAATCCGAATTGGGCTTAATTAGAAAAGGTTATTCCTGGCTCTCGTAGATTGATAAAAGGTTTGTCCATTTTTTTCCGATTTTTAAAGTAGATCCTCGTTTTTTAATAACCCCCATAGAATTGTCCCGCTTAAGATTCGGTACGTTCCTAGCCTAGTTTTCAAAACTCTGGGTACTGATTATAAAGGATCCCGCTGGGATCCTCTTATTTTCCCCAGCTTTTTCTAAATTATCAAAGCAATTTGGGTATACATTTAAATTCGAAGAAGTCCAAATTTCCTGTAATTTGGGCCTCCGAAGTTCAGTAAGGGCCTTTAAACTTTGTTTATCTATTTAATATTGACTAAGGCCACTTGGATATAAGTTTAACGCAAATAAATAAAACAAAAAAAAACAATATTCAAACGTACTGGAGTCGGGAGACCTATATATTAGGAAGTATGGACTTATTCGATATGACCTGAACCACTTTAAATTGATACCCATGTTGCCCTAGATAATATTAAAAAGCAGACGAAATTACAAGGGTCTTATCGGAACGTTGAATGTCATATCTCCGGAAAAACGTTTTCCCCAAGGACTACTTATTGTAAAATAATCCACAACCGGGTATAAATCTAGAATTAAGTGAACCCCACCCATTCTCGATTTTAATTTTTCAAGATTTTCAATGGGCTGGTAAATCAATACCAATGCTTGTTAAGGTTTGTAACTTTGCACATATATATTTGAAGATTTAAAAGAGAAGAAAAATAATTTACAAAAAAATGTTTGTTATTTTGTTGTTGTTTTTTGTAATTAAAGAAAAGTCCTTATTTTTGATGGCGGGTATTGGAAAGAGTACATGTCTGGCTCTCGTATGAACTATTATTGACATCGCTCTAAAATTAACAAAATGGCGGCCCTTTGAAAAAATATTTTTGGAAAATCGCCGATTTTTTACCAAAAACCAAGTTAAAAAATAAGGAAGATCTTCACCGATTGGCTTTATCCTAGTTCATACGAGAGCTATACACTCCCAGAGAAACGTTGCAAAATTTGGAACCGACTGGATTATTAGTTTTTGAGTTATCGTGCCCGCCATTCGCAAAAAAATGTTTAGAGAAAAACGCGTTTAAAGTTTGAGAAGCCCTTCAGCCGTCACTTGATGCTGACACAATAAATCGGATATATCTTCAAGAGTTCTTGAGATTTTCACTTGAAATTTTGTAGAGACATTCTTTAATCAGTGTAGATTCGAATTATATCAACAAAAATTTAAGTTCAAGTTTGAGCCAGGGCTCTGAGGGTACTACACCAACGTCCAGTAAATTGGTATATAGTTTTCAGTGGCTCTTTGCAATCTTTTTCATTATAGACTTCCAAAATAAAATATCCTTGAAAGTTCGATATCGCAGCAGAAAAATATTTCTCAAAACTCAATACCATTTCTCTATGTATTTTCCACTTAATTTTAATTAATTCATTTAATTAAAATTTTTAATTTAATTACAACGAACACTCTTTGAAAATTTCACGCAATTTGAACAGATTTTTAACGCCTTCACAACTTTTTGAGATAATTACTCTAAACACATCTTTCTAAATAAAAAAAAACTCGAACCGCTATCACAATTTAAAACAATTATTGCAGCAAAATGTTTGACACGATAGGAATTTCTTAAACACACAAAAATAATAATTAACACAAATTAGATTAGCTTGACAGCTTTTGAAAATCTCAAACAACAAAATCAAAACAAGAAAAGAAAAAAATTAAACTGCCAGTAACTGCAGTTAAATGCAGTGAATACCAGTCCAAACAATACCAGCAGCAGTAACAGAACCACCGCCAGTCATCGTACTTTTTATGAATTTCAATTAAATAGCAGCCCACTCTTTATTCAATCCAATGGTCAGATAGACAGACGACCAGCCAGACTTTATTTTAAACGAAGACAATTTTCTTTAAATTATTTTCAAGAAATTACTTTTTGTTGTTGTTGGTTTTTATTTTCTTTCAACAGCACAAGAATGACACTCAAGTAAATAACGGTTTCTTCAATTTTTTTTATTAAAATTTAACGATTATCGTACACACGATCACGATGAAATTGCGCGCGTAACTAAAAGCGACTTGTCGGGCGAACGGTTCAGATGAATCTGAATTTTTGAAAATAGTATTTTTTTCAAATCGTAAAAAATTATGAAAAAAAAGAAATACTTA